CTGATCTAGTGGCGGGACCCTCGTCCTGCCACTGTCAGGGCCCTGGGCTGGAACGCAGTGGTGTAGGGTGGGCCTGCGTTCCCCTACCCGGCCGAGCCACGCCGGGACCTTTGCCGGCGCTCCCGTGCCTGAGGGGCGCGCTACTGCCCTGTGCCGGCGCTCCCCTGCCTGAGGGGCGCGCTACTGCCCTGTGCCGGCGCTCCCCTGCCTGAGGGGCGCGCTACAGACTCTGGCTGGCAGCCTTCCCGCTGCTAATTCCCCGCTGGCGGAGGCGTGATCCAGGCCAGCCAGTGACGATGTAGCTCCCCACCGCCCCCTAGCGGGTAGGTGGACCGACAGCGGATCACAGGGACATATTGTTAGTTTTTATATAATCAGTAGTATGTCTAAAGGTGCATGTGTCTTATTAACTCTGTTTTCTCCTAGAGCTCCAGGAAGAAATCACAGCCAGTGTGGAACTGGCTGTCCAACACTATCTGTGATTTGGGGGGCATGTCATAACTAAAAGGGAAGGGCAACAGCCTCAAGCTGGTAGAGAAGCTTAGAGGTTTTCATGCAGGTCCCTACATCTGTACCCTAAAGTTCAGTGTGGGGAAGGAACCTTGACACGGTGCATTGACACTCCTACTTCTGCATGAACAGGTCTTGCATTTAGGGCCAAATTCTGGTCCCTGTGAAAGGGCTTGAGAGAACAGATGGATCCCATGACCCTTGAAGGTCAACAGACCAGGGCTTGGTCAGACCAATGTGAAGAGAGAGTTCCTAGTACATAATAATCCAATCCGGAGATGAGAGGCCTAGATCACTGTGGAAAGGCCCAGATCCCCTCATCGCCCTGTACCCAAGGGCAACAAAGGGGACTAATCAGTGCTCAGAATCTGAGACACAAAGCCTTGATTTGGAAGCACCAGCAACTGTCCCCAGAAGCCTCAGAGCAGCCAAATCCAGCCAGCCAGTTCTGACAGTCTCCTCACTGAGATGTTCAAACAATGGGACAGAGAGTGAATCCTCCAAAAGGCATAAGTGTCACATAGGCTCCTGGCATTGGCACCAGCTGGAGGCTGTGACTTCCTCCTTGTTCCCCTGTCTACCACCTCGGAGTTGAAGCAAAAAGGCAGCCATTTTGCTGAGCCGAGTGGCAGAGACGGCCATCTTGCTGAAAAGCCAGTGCCTTTGTGATCCTGACAGATGAGAGCGCCCAAGATCAGAGGTTGTAATGAAGTTTCTAAGTTGCTTTGATGACCCTTGCAGTTACAGACCCCTGGCCCAGACACCCTTTATCTTGAAATACCCCACACCAGCACCCGAGCTTACAGAGATGAAGGCCCATATCATGGGACACATCCAAGCTATGAGCCCTGTCGAGAAACAGCCCTTCTCATGCGGGTACTCCCACAGGCCTAGCTTCCAATGTTCCTTTTGAGAGCAGAGGTGGCCTTCTATCCCCCCTCCAGGTGGCCCCCTGGATGGCCCACCACCCCCTCTTAGCCTTTCAGGAGGGGACCCAGGTAGCCCACACCAGCCCTCCAGGCACCAGCATTGACATTTGCTTTATTAAGAGTCACACAGAAGGCTGGCAGATCCCCAAGAAGATTCCCTTTCTTCCTACTCAGTCCCTGCCATTTTCATTGCCAAAGACTCACACAATCACTTCACGCCTTTGCCATCAGGGAAGGAGCCATTAGCCCAGGACAGGCTGGTGGATCCCAAATGCTCCTTGGGAAGCAGCAGACACCAGCTATTAATCCACACGGAAGCAAAGCTGGAAGCTCTGGGAAGGACATCGTTGTTCTGCTGATGCTCCAGGACTACTTCACTAGGGCCCGATTCTGAGACACGCCAAGCTTATTAGGGACGGAGGGTGCCCAGCACCATGTCGAGCTGAACTCTCAGCCAACTCCTTTCACTTGCCACAGTCCCTGATTGAGCCCAGCTTGCAATATTTGCCTCTGCTAGATGGCTGTTGGATCCCCCCTTCTGCCAAACTAACTGCCTGGGACCCCGGGCCAAGAGACAGCCCCACCAGATGCCACCTTGCTGCCAATATTGCTGCCAGAGGAAGGCAAGTTGGGTAGAGCAGAGCCAGCACACAACTTAGGAGTGGGACAGGGGAACTCTGTGATGGGTGAGCTCCACCAGGATGCAGAGCAGTGTCTGCAAAGCAGGCAGTTTTCTCAGAGCCCAGATAAGTCAGTTGATCCTGTGTTATTAATCTGAAAGCCTTTAATTGTCAATGTTCCTTGGATTGCTGTGAAGACTTCCCTTCACTCCTCTCTTGCGTCCTAAGCCATCGTGGCACACCACAGTGGGTCCGAGGGTGAGACACACAGCTCATTTGGCTAATAAGTGTAGAGCTCACAGCGTTTTGGGGAGGCTTAGGTGGTACTTTTCCCATGTTGCTCCCAATTTCCTCACCCCAGCCCTGCCCCCCCCCCCCAAACAAGAGGGCTAGCTCAGTGGTTTGAGCATCGGTCTGCTAAACTCAGGGTTGTGAGTTCAATCTGTGAGGGGGCCACCTAGGGATCTGAGGCAAAAAATCTGTCTGGGAATTGGTCCTGCTTTGAGCAGGGGGTTGGACTAGATGACCTCCTGAGGTCCCTTCCAACCCTGATATTCTATGATTCTATTAACCCCCACAGCGGGACACCAAAGACAGAGCAAGATGTAGATATTAACTTGGATTGTCAGGGACCAGCTTATATTCTGTTGCACTGGAATCCTGGGTCTAGGCGCTACCACAATACAAATAACTAATCACTCTCAGAGGAAGGTAATGTGGCAAGGGAGTCCTGCCCAGATTGGAACACACCCCGTTGCTGCCAGGGTCTTCTCCTTCAGCCTGCTTTACGAAAGCCACTGAAATCTACCTGGTCTCTTAGGGCTTGTCTGTATGGCAGCTGTTTGAGTAGGTACCTTTCAGTTCACACCAGCAGGGTCTACATGGCGCAGTTAAAACATGACACGTTAGCACACTCTACAATTCACGCTCCCCATACTCTGCACTGCGCTGCTGTGTAGATAAGCCCTTAGACGCCATTAGGGCAAGGCACGCTGGTTTGGATAAGGTAAAAGCCAACCTAACCTTCGTCCAAATCCAGCCACAGAGGGTGAAGGAAGTGCAAATAATTTCAGTGTTTCTTATTTTTGCAGAGCCTCTCCTTCGCAGGCGGAGTTGGGATTGGAGGGGCTGAACTGGGGCAAGGGCTATCAAGGCAATGTAGCACAGTCACATACAGCACTTTCCATGCAGAGATCTCAAAGTGTTTTGCCACAGTAGGAAACGGCCATTATCCTTGTTTTACAGGCGGGAAAACTGAGGCACAGAGAGGGGAATGGTCTTCCTCAAGGTCATCCAGCACAAGAACTTAACATAAGAACAGCCATACTGGGTCAGACCAAGGTCCATCTAGCCCAGTATCCTGTCTTCCGACAGTGATCAATGCCAGGTGCTTCAGAGGGAATGAATAGAACAGGTAATCAAGTGATCCATCCTCTGTCGCCCATTCCCAGCTATTGGCAAACATAAACATAAGTATGTGCATAATCTACTGCAAGCAATGTCTCATTTTGATAATTCACATGGGCAGAGCTTAGCAGATCACCATCTTTTCTTCCCACTAATCTGACCCTACTACAAATTTATCCCATATTTTCATAGACTCTGCTCTTCCCCAGGAATCAAGGGTAGAAAGTGAAACAATTTTTTGAGAGGGGTCAGGGAAGTTCCAGAACTCCTAATTCTAAAACTGACAACCAGTTGGTCACCTCCCCCGATTTGCTCTGACATATTGCACAGCTCCAAAGTACACAATGCTGACACGACTTGAGTGACAAGAAGATTTAAGTGAACTCTCCAAGGTCCAAAGTAAAAGCAAGCCAAGATACAAGTATACAGAGGAGTGTTTTTCAGTTGCCATAGTTTGTTAGTCTCTCTCTGGAGAGAGAGAGAGAGAGAGAGAGAGATTGCAAGTGATTATATTACACCAGTGCTCAGGACAACAGTAATGTACAAATCCAGCTGGGAAAAGCCCAAGTACAGAACAGAAACAGTCCTTTACTATCACTATAAGGGGCAATACCCTGCATCACCCTCACTGATAACCCTTGCCCCAGTTCAGCAAGTCAATGGCAGAGCAGGGAGCAGAGCCAAAGTTTGCTACCTGCCAGGATGGCGCCCTTCCTATTGCACCATGCTGCCTCTCATGACAAACCCTGTTCCCAGACATCTGAAGCCTAGCAGAAGTAGCCACATTTCTGGGTGTTGATCCAAACTGACCAGCCAACCCCTTCTAACTTTCAGAAAGCCATAGGCCTAATCCTGCCCTCTGCTGGACAGGTATGGCAGGTAGCCTAGGGTACCTCAGCCAGAGCAGGGCAGGGCTCCCTTCCAGCATCTTCCTGAGCACTGGCATGTGGTGGGGCAGTGAGTGGTCAGATTACCCCTGCCCCCTGGGGTATCCCAGCTTGGGGGCGTGGTCCAAGCCCTTGGCCTCCATGTACATGCTACAGCAGGCAGCATCTGATACGCACTAGTCTGGCTTGGAGTAGCAGGAGAGATGGCAGAGTCCCAGCTTTGTCAGCCCCACCCCTGGCAGAGCTGAGTGCGAGCAGGGGTTCACCCACTGAGAGGCAAGAGGCCTAGGAGGTTACCTAATCCACCCCCCAATAATTGTGTTTTGTCCAGTCTGGTTTGAAAGTTGCCCAGGCAACAGAATTTTCCAACAGCCCCCCATGGGTATGCAGCAGGGTATGAACCCACAACCTCCAGCACTGCAGAACATACTTCTACCTCTTGTGCTAAAGGAGGAACTCCATTAACTGGCAGCAGCAGCAGCAGGTTGTTTCTTTCTATGTGGCCCAGCCACCAACGGGGGTTGCAGAACACATTTTACCTGTGTTACAATTTCATAGTCTAATCAATGCTAGCTCCCATGGATACCAGCCCTCACCATATTATACCCAGCTATTCATCCACCGCTCTGCTTTTCTCCACACTGTACCTCGATGTCTGGAATGTTGTCAAAGAGCTGTTGGGCGATATCTTTGCAGCCCTGCTGGATGGCTTCCGGGGGCATCTCGTTATCAGAATACCAGTCCCTGTTAGCAGAGTGGGCATAGGCAGCACTGGGAGTGGCGTGGTTTACCCGTGTGGTGGTTACGATGCCCACAGACTTGCCTGCAGCAGGAGAGAAGGGGTTAACAGTTGGATGAGTGAGTGGGGAGCGTGATATGTGGTTTGATGGTTAGAACTATAAAGGGCCTGATCCCAATCTCTGAGTGTAATAATGCTGTATTGACACCCGCGTAGGAAAGAACACCACAAAGCATTCTGGGATGCTATTATGCAGCGCACCCTCCGCTGATCATTTTCCCCTTGCTCACCGTCATGTTGGAGGGACATGTTTTCTAGCCACAGCCCTAAAGGGGGCACTGTAAGATATGCCCAGAAGAGACAGGAGATGGGGATTTTGCTGGGGAAAATGTCCCAGGTATTTCTTTTCAACTGATACACGGAAGGGGACACTGTCCATTAGTTTAGGATGAAACTTCACATTGCTTTGGTTCAGGTGTCCTCGGCCCGTCAGTTGTTTCTGAGGTTGGGGATGTTTTTTCCCCAACCCTTCTTTGGAAGGGGAGCACATCCAGGAAGTCCTGCTCTAAGGGACAGGAATGTCGGAAACAAAGAATCCATGAAATGAATCAACTTATCCTGGCCATGCCCCTGTCCTGCCCACCCTCCACTCTGGCTGCTGGCCCAGCCCAGACAGCTGGTCTGTATCACACATGATGCTTTACAGCCCTGCCCACTTGCTCACCTGCTTCCTTCGCCCACTTGAGAATCGATGTGACCTCATTGCCCGCTGTGGTATTGCACTGAGCGCGGGTCACGGCTGCGCTCACACCCACCGTCCCCTCGTTGGCCTTCACCCCGCAGAGATAAGCGGTGGCGGTGCCTGCACTGTCTGGCACCTGGGCGTTGGTGTTGTAGGTCTGCAAGGATGAATGGCAGGGTTGAATGAACAAGACCAGCATCAGCAACCTCCGTCACAAGACCTTGGCCACTTGCCTTTCCTCCTGAGAACCCACATGGAGGAAACCGCCCCAGACCTCTCAACTCTACATACCAGGGACTGGTCTGCTGATGGCCTATGGGGAAAGGAGCTGGGGCTTCAGGAGGCTGGTGTGTTATATGACTAGGAGCTGGATTCAAGTCCCCAGGCAAAGAACAGATCACAACACCGGCTGCCTTCGGGGCAGCCCTGATGCAGGCTTCAAGCCCAGATTCCATGGCAAGGTTTCTGGTGGGGTAAGGCACTCGGGACAGGCGTGGGAAAGCAGGGACACTCCAAGCAGCTGGCATTCAGTGGGTGTGAAAAAGGAGTGGAATCTCTCCTGCGCCTTGGCGTGGACGTCTGCTAACGAGAGGGGCCGAGATAAAGAAAGGAGTGGGTTGCTTTGTCTAGCATTCTCCTGGGTGCTGCTTTTCTTCGATTCCCTCCCATCCATCCTCTCAGCATGCAAATTACACTGGTTTTGTGAACAAATTGGTGCAAGTTTCACTACTTTGCTCCATGCACCATGTATACAACTTGCAACGCTACAGGCCACAAAGCTGGACTGGGCCCAGAGACACTGCCACTCATGCCAGGGCCGGATTCTGCCCCATGGCAACTCAAGGGTTGCAAGGAGACTGCCCTGAGTCCCATTCCAGAGAGATGCTCCCATTCCCAACGAGGCCTGGCAACTCTCCCGCTCTCTGCCCTGTGATTCTTCCCCCCCCCCCCACCCCCCAGCCAGCTTTGGGGCATTTAACTGTTGCTTCAGACACAGACCCTGACTAGCCAGGTGCCCCAGCCTCCCTGTGGGCCCCTTCCAACCCTGCCGAGTCGGCGCCAAGACTCCCATTGCCCTTGATGGGATGGGGCCCACCGGTGACGTCAGGATGCCAGGAAATTGATCCAACTGCCAACCTCTGAAGCGTGCAAGGGCAACTTTGGGAGATGCCCATGTTCTCAACCCGTGCACTTGCTAGCACTGATATGACCCCCTTGCCCTCCACCCACTGATGGCCTTCCCCCTCACCCGGCTGAGCTCAACGGTGAGCAGGAAGGGAAAGATTGACTCAAGCGCCTCTGGGGGGGTGCCAGTGCCTTCAGGCTCGACTCCCACAGCAGAAGAGGGAGCTGGCACATCACCCAGCTGCCCACAATCCCCATTCACCTGCACAGACCCTCGTGCTATCACCTATGCCCACAATCCCTGCCTTTCAGCTCCATGCATATTTTAACTCAGTCCAGAACATTTTTAGCCTGCCACTGGGCAGGGACACTAGGCAACACATATTTGATCCTATTAAATTAAAATAAAAAAATATATATATATTTTTTGCAAGTTTTCCTCCAAAGCAGGTCCTCCCTCACCCCCCTGCCTCGTGGCGGACAGCTGGCTGGCCTTGCCCTGCACTCCACTGTGGTGAATGTACTATTGACACAAGCATGGATCGAATCAGGGCTTCAGTTCAGAGCAGGGAGGCAACAGCAGGTGTCTCAGTGCCAGGCCATCCACCCATTGCCAGCCGCATGCCAGCAGATGGGCTGGGTGAAGAGCACAGCCCTGCAAATGCTGGTGCCAGGATCCCTTTTCCCACCCAAATGCCAGGGACTTGTTTCCAGAGAGAAATGAGGTGGCATTTTAAAGTTTGTTTTTAAGAGCAGCTCGTCTCTGCAGTGTTTTACCCTAACAGCGGCCACTCTGCAAATGAGGCCCTGGCCCCTGTGGTATTAGGGACTGTGTGTTCAAGGGCTGAGCTTCCCAGACAATCTGGGTGGGATGCCATGAAGCTCATGTCATGCACAGACGGTTGGAACTGAACTTAGAATAAAGCAGATCTCTTGTAAACTCTGTGTGACCACTGAGCCCCCCACTCCACAGGCTTTTTTTTTTTTTCCTTCTTTCTTTCTTTCTTTTTCAATGGAGATATCCTATCTCCTAGAACTGGAAGGGACCTTGAAAGGTCATCGAGTCGAATCCAGCCCCCTGCCTTCACTAGCAGGACCAAGTACTGATTTTGCCCCCAGATCCCTAAGTGGCCCCTTCAAGGATTGAACTCACAACCCTGGGTTTAGCAGGCCAATGCTCAAACCACTGAGCTATCCCTCCCGGTCCAGCAGAGCAATGGGTTGAGCAGGTCTCTTGGCTTGGCTTGGCGGAGAACAGTTCAGTTATAAGGAATCAGGGAAATAAACTCTTTGTATTCAAGCTGATTTTCAAATCAGCTTGAGGGATTTGGATGCTCAGGGTCCCATCCATGACATAACTAATGCAAACTGGACACCCCAATTCTGGAGGCAGCTTGAAATTCTCAGTTGTCATTTTAAATCAGAGATATGTGGGTATGTGCAAATCTGAATGCAACCCTAGCTATGCTGACCCCACCATACATTCACATGCGCGTGCACACCTGGCAGCCTCAGGATCAGTTTTAAAAGTCGATCTTGTGATCAGAGTGCAAATGCAGAGGGTTTTTCAGGAGTCTGCTTTCCCACAATCTAACCTTTAAAAATTGCCCTTGAACAAGAGCCCTTTCAAATGTCAAACTTCCAAAAGGCATCAAAGTTAGCCCAGCACCTCCGTATTCTCTGCCATAAATCTTTTCCTGGTCCCTGGGAGGCCAAGATACCTGTGTAAATCTGGCATTAAGCCCTATGCAATTGCAATCACTTGAATGAACCCAAACAAATGGAAACTGAATGTCTCTAAGAGACGCCTTCCCGGCCGAGAGGAGCTGCCCTGGGCGTGCATGTGTCAGTCAGCTGGCACAGATCTTTGCCTTTGCCAGTGGCCTATTTGCTACTGGTTTGATTTACAGCACTCATCAATACCTGCTAGGCAGATGGCACTGGGGTCACTGAAATTGATTCTGCCTCGGGTGTCAACAAAGGCCCATCAAAAAGGGGTTAGTCTCCCAGCTTCTCTTCCCACCCCTCCCCCGGGGAAGCTGGCGAGAGCCAAGGACAGAGGAGTCCCTAGCCCCTGAGAGAAGTAATTTTGAGTGGGAGGGAAGGACTGGTGGCGAACGCCCTGCAGGCGACCCAAAGCGACCAGCTCCCAGGAGAAAAGTGACAGTTCCATGGCCGTGGCAGATGCTTTATCCACAGTTACCTCTTTCTGCACCCAGGCTGAAACAAATTGAGCTGCTTCCACTGAGCAACTGGGGAAATGCAGCTGAGGCCCAGAGATGGGGCTCTGATACTAGGCAGGGTGTGTGATGAGAGGAGGGGGGTGGGGAGCAGGTGCTGGAGGGAAACCTTCCCCCATACCCCAGGGAGAAACACAACAAGTTGAAGGTGCAAGAGCCAGGGCAAAGCACAATCCTTGCTGCCCCTCCCCCCAACCCTGCAGCAATGGACCTGGGATTGTACCTCCTTTAGGTAGGGTTACCATATGTCCGGATTTTCCCGGACATGTCCGGCTTTTTAGTCCTCAAATCCCCGTCCGAGAGGAATTTCCAAAAAGCCGAACATGTCCGGGAAAATAGGGAGACATGGTAAGGGGACCCCGAGTGCGAGTGGCTGCAGCAAAACTTACAACTCCCGCGATCTGCCGGGGCGCAGAGGCAGAGGCGGCGGCGGCATCCGAGCGCGCAGCCACCTCCTCCCTGGGCTCCAACTTTCCCAGCTCCCGCCACTCTCCACCGCGGCGGGGGCCGAAGCAACTTGAGCCCGGGGGGCGGGAGGGAGGAGGGGGAATGCGGGGTGCTCAGGGAGGGGGCGGAGACTTTGGGGAAGGGGTTGGGAAGGGGCGGAGTTGGGCCGGGGCCCCCGTGGAGTGTCCTCACTTTTCAGTGTTGAAATCCAGAGCAGGACCGATTCCTGCAGATTCTCAGCCACACACGTTGCCTCGCCAGCTTGTAGAGCCTGCTCCCACCCCAAACCCGACCCCAGGAACAGCCAGGCAGGCAAAAAGAACTGGACTCACCTTGGACAGAGCCACATAAGGAAATTTGTCCATTTCCAGCAGGGATTCTTCCCCCTTCATGTTCTGCAGCTGTCCCTTGAGGATACGAGCTGCTGTGACTGTGGAGACTCCCATGCCTGCAGTTGGACAAAGTGAGAATGAATCCTACGGAGCAGTGACCTGTGCCCAACACTGAAGAATTGCAAAGCGCTGACTTCCTGAAAAGCTATTGCAAGGGGTCAGAAAAGCCAGTCCAACCCACTCGCCAGCAGCTTCTCCACACAGCTGTCTCCAGATCAGGTACAGACTAGAACATTAGTTGCAACAATGATTGCTCTTTTTTTGTGGGAGCTTGGCTCCCCTAGCCCCAAGAGGAAAACATCAGGTGACACATTATAATTAACCATACTCATGACACAATAAACCCTTTAACTGCTGGATTAAAATAGAACAATGCACAATATCATTTATTTTGCTCTTCATCCCTTTTCTATTCCCCTGAAAGAAGTCCAGGGCTAAGGACCATTGTCCCAACCCATAGCTGTTATACACATTAAAAGCAATCTATGCAAAACCATTTCACCCTTCCCAATATACAGTTCCAGTTCATCAAAGACTTTGGGGTATTAGGTGCTTCCTCTCTTCCTGCGTGGGTTCAGACAAAACTGATATAAGGCCATTCCTTCAATGTGAGGATGCACAGAAGATGGGCATCAGCTTTCTCCAGTGACCATCTCTCAGCTTAAAGGAGTCCCTGGAAATCTCCACATTGGGACAGTTTCTTAGGGTATGTCTACACTACGAGGGTAATTCGATTTTACTTAAATCGAATATGTGGAATCGATATTGCAAAGTCGAACGTGTGTGTCCACACTAAGGACACACTAAGGACAGTAATTCGACTTTGTGAGTCCACACTAACGGGGCGAGCGTCGATATTGGAAGCGGTGCACTGTGGGCAGCTATCCCACAGTTCCCGCAGTCCCCGCTGCCCATCGGAATTCTGGGTCGAGCCGCCAATGCCTTCTGGGTAAAAAAAATTTGTCGTCATCCGTCCGTCACTAACGCCCTCCCTCCCTCCATGAAAGCGCCGGCGGGAAATCAGTTCGCGCACTTTTCTGGTCAGTGACAGCGCGGACGCCACAGCACTGCGATCATGGATCACGCTGCGACCATCGCTGCACTTGTGGCCGTTCTCAACACCTCGCAGCTTATCATACACCTTTCCCTGAGGCAGATGCAGAGAAATCGGGCGAGGAGGCTACGGCACCGCCGTGAGAGCCTGAAGTCGGAGAGTGGCACAGAGCTGTCAGAAACCACGAGCCCCAGCGCCCAGGACATGACGTTGGCAATGGGGCATGTGGATTTTGTTGAACGGCGATTCTGGGCCCGGGAAACAAGCACGGACTGGTGGGACCGTATAGTGCTTCAGGTCTGGGATGAATCCCAGTGGCTGCGAAACTTTCGCATGCGGAAGGGGACTTTCCTCGAACTTTGTGAGTTGCTGTCCCCTGCCCTGAAGCGCAAGGACACCCGCATGCGAGCAGCCCTCACTGTCCAGAAGCGAGTGGCCATAGCCCTCTGGAAGCTTGCAACGCCGGACAGCTACCGGTCAGTCGCGAACCACTTTGGTGTGGGCAAATCTACCGTGGGGGTTGTTGTCATGCAAGTAGCCAAGGCAATCGTCAAGGTACTGCTCCCAAAGGTAGTGACCCTGGGAAACGCGCAGGTCATCATAGATGGCTTTGCCGCGATGGGATTCCCAAACTGCGGTGGGGCTATAGATGGGACTCACATCCCTATCCTGGGACCGGACCACCAGGCCAGCCAGTACATCAATAGAAAGGGCTACTTTTCAATGGTGCTGCAAGCACTGGTGGACCATCGGGGACGGTTTACAAACATCTACGTCGGATGGCCGGGCAAGGTTCATGACGCTCGCGTGTTCAGGAACTCTGGTCTGTTTAGACGGCTGCAGGAAGGTATTTACTTCCCAGACCACAAAATAACTCTTGGGGATGTGGAGATGCCTACAGTCATCCTCGGGGACCCAGCCTACCCGCTAATGCCCTGGCTCATGAAGCCCTATACTGGCGCCCTGGACACAGAAAAAGAACTGTTCAACTACCGTCTGAGCAAGTGCAGAATGGTGGTGGAGTGTGCTTTTGGCCGTCTCAAAGGGAGATGGAGAAGCTTACTCACTCGCTGTGATCTCAGTGAAACCAATATCCCCATCGTTATTGCAGCTTGCTGTGTGCTCCACAATCTGTGTGAGAGCAAGGGGGAGACCTTTATGGCGGGGTGGGAGCTAGAGGCAAATAGCCTGGCTGCTGATTACGTCCAGCCAGACAGCCGGGCCATTAGAAGATCCCAGCGGGACGCCCTGTGCATCCGGGAGGCTTTGAAAGCTAGGTTCCTGAGTGAGCAGGGCAACCAGTGACTTTTCAGTTTGTGGACAGAAAAGCTGAACCTGCCCCCGTTTCTTTACCCAGTCCATTTTGACTATCCTCTCCAGTTACATACAACCTTCACCCCCTTCCCCTTCCCAAAAAATAAAATCATTTCGATTTTTTAATGAACACCGTTGTCTGTATTGCTGTTTTCGCGGGAATATTTTAAACCGGGGACGCAGACTGTGGCGGGGGGCGGGTTCAGTGTTCTGATGCAAATGATGCTTCTAAACTCCCGGAATGCCAGGCTCCGCACTGGTGGACTGGTTATTTCAATGGAGAACATGAAAAACACCTCCCAGACTGACCAGGGTAACCAGTGACTGCACTGTGTATGTGTCCTGATGCTGGACCTGACACCGCCTCTGTACCCTGCTAAAGGTGACTGTCCTGTCCAATTACCAAGCCCCTTCCCCCCCTCCAGACAGACTCTCCCTCAAAAGAACCTGACTGAAACAGTAATGAACAGAAACAAACATTTTATTGCGAACCAGACATGAAACGTGGGGGGTGAAACTTGGACGGGGGCTTGTGTGAGGTGGGTAGGAAAGGACTTATGAAATTTTGGGGAATGTCAGCCTTCTACTGCTAGAGCAGTCTGCAGGGGTTGATTGAAAGTTTTAACGGCCCTTGCCGCCCCTCCTTCTTTGGACTTTGGGTGAGGGTGGTGTGGGACTTGGTGGCGGGTGAGGGCGGTTACAGATAGACTGCAGCGGGGCTCTGTCCTCCTGCCTCCGGTCTTGCAGAACATCCACAAGGCGCCGGAGCGTGTCCGTTTGCTCCCTCATTAGTCCAAGCAGCTTTTCAGTAGCCTGTTGGTCCTCCTGACGCCACCTCTCCTCCCGTTCCATGACTGCTCGGTGCATTTGTGACAAGTTCTCCCTCCACTGTGTCTGCTGGGCTGCCTGGGCTCGGGAGCAGCCCATTAGTTCTGTGAACATGTCTTCACGCGTCTTCTTCTTCCTCCGCCTAATCTGCGCTAGCCTCTGGGAGTGTGCTGACAGGCTGGGTTGGGAGACAGTCGCAGATGTGTCTGTGTGAATTTTAAAAAGGGAGTGAATTCCTGAGACAGATAAATGAAATTGTATACAAAGAACCTAGTCTTTCTCTGTGAACAAGACCATGCACTGAACCTCTCACATGCGCACTCAGGACAAGGTCGAATTTTCGGCCGTCGCCTTCAGTGCCTGTGGACTTGCGGAGGTCTTGGAGTGTTCAGAGAACTGTGGCTGGAGACCTGAACTTCTGGAGCGGGCAATAATGGTAAGCCGCAGACTTGTGGCTGCTTAAAACTCCAGCAGTAGCACTGGCCTCCTTTCACATTGAAAGCAATGCCAGTCTCTGCTGCCAGCAATCAGGACAGCATCAACTCTGCCCCTGTCCCACCCCCTCGCGGCTGTCCCAGGGAAAGATCCCTGTATGCTGCCCCTCTCCCTCCACCGCGTGGCTGTAAAGCAGTCCCAATACTAACAGTCCCCTCCCTAATTCAAAGCAGGGCGTCATGAGCGACATCACCCTCCTGAGGATCCCGGACACCCAGAGAGAACGCATGCTGCGGGAAAGCATGCAGAAACCGGGGCCGTATGCCGCCATGCTATGTCGGGCCATGATCCCCGAGTACCTGATTGTGGCATGGAGGGGACATGTCTGCTACCACGGAGGGCCCACTAAGATCGCCCTACCCCGGAACCTGATCAACAGGCTTGAGCTCTACCTCCACGAGACCTACGAGGAGTTCTCCTACGAGGATTTCTCGTCGATCCCCGGCCACATTGACCGGATTTTCGCGTAGGTGCACTGGGACTTTGGAGTGGAGCGTCTTGGGCCTGGGAATCATGTAGTAACGGACATTGTGAAATTTTTTTAAAATACTTGGGACTAAATTGAGAAGAGCCTAAGACAGAGAAATCATGCAAAACCCATTTGTTACCTTTGTAAATATTCCTGTTTTGTACCTGATTATTTTTTTACTAGTTTACAGCACTTTTATAAATATACATTGTTAATAGTATAAATATTACCGTTCTGTTTTAAATAAATGTTTACATGTTTACAGCACTTACTGCTTGATCCGTCCCCTGATTCTGTGTCCGGGGTAAGGGATGGGGACGGTTGGTAGGGGATCTCGGTAAGGGTGATGAAGAGCTCCTGGCTGTCGGGGAAATCAGCGGTGCCAGCGCTGTCGACTGCCTCGTCCTCCTCATCTCCTTCTTCATCTTCCCCGTCCGCTGTCATGTCCGACATGATCCCATCCTCGGAGTCCACGGTCAGGGGTGGGGTAGTGGTGGCGGCCGCTCCCAGGATGGAATGCAGTGCCTCGTAGAAACGGGATGTGTGGGGCTGGGATCCGGAGCGTCCGTTAGCCTCTTTGGTTTTTTGGTAGCCTTGTCTCAGCTCCTTGATTTTCACGCGGCACTGCGTTGCATCCCGGCTGTAGCCTCTCTCTGCCATGGCTTTGGAGATCTTCTCGTAGATCTTAGCATTCCTTCTTTTGGAGCGCAGCTCTGAAAGCACGGACTCATCGCCCCACACTGCGATGAGATCCAAGACTTCCCGATCAGTCCATGCTGGGGCCCTCTTTCTATTGGATTGCACGGCCATCTCTGCTGGAGAGCTCTGCATCGTTGCCACTGCTGCTGAGCTCCCCTCGATGTCCAAAGAGGAACTGAGATTCAAACTGCCCAGACAGGAAAATGAAAATGAATTCAAATTTTCCCGGGGGTGTGGCTGGTCAGAGCATCCGAGCTCGGACTGCTGTCCAGAGCGTCAACAGAGTGGTGCACTGTGGGATAGCTCCCGGAGCTATTACCGTCGATTTCCATCCACACCTAGCCTAATTCGATATGGCCATGTCGAATTTAGCGCTACTCCTCTCGTTGGGGAGGATTACAGAAATCGATTTAAAGAGAGCTTTATGTCGAACTAAATGGCTTCCTGGTGTGGACGGGTGCAGGGTTAATTCGATATAACGGCGCTAAAGTCGACATAAAAGCCTAGTGTAGACCAGGCCTTAGAGAACCAGTCACATAGGACTAAGGAGAGCAAGGGAGCTGCTCTCATCTAACTGTTCTGGTAGGCAAGGGGACCTATTCCTGGTCTAGGGGACAAGGCACTGGATTATGAAGAAGGCACGAGGGATTCTATTCCTGGCTCTGCCATTGACGTGTTCTGTGACTTGGGTACATCTACACAGCCAGTGGCAACGCACAGCAGTGAGCCTCCAAGATCACACCACAGACTAGGGCTTGTGCTATGGTGCTAAAAATAGCTTTGTAGACCTACTCCCTCCTTAGACTTCAGAGCATGAGCTCCACCCGAGCTGCAATGTCTACACAGCTATTTCGAATGTGGTAGCACAAGCCCAAGTCTGTTGACTCGGGCTCAGAGGCAGGTCTGTATAGACATACCCTTTTGTGTCTGTTTGCCCTCCCATCTTTTATCTGCAATGGGTGCTCTTGTAATACAAACTCTGTTGCTGCATTCACCTTCATTCTTTTGGAGCTCAGTGACATTTTTATAGCTGGTATTTCTTTTATAACCATGAGCTCTGAATCTGCAAGTTGCACCACGGATGCTCACTAACTTCCATGATGCTCAGAGAGATGGACCAAGTAAAGGCCTGGGACCTAGCACATTACAGTGACTTATGGTAACGTTTTTAAAAGCGTCTACTTAACGTAGGAGCCTAAGTCTAAGTCAATAGAAATGTGGGCTCCTACGAGCCCAAATCACTTCTGAAAAATGGGACTTAGGTGCTTTTGAAAATGTTACCCATGACTGTGCAATTATGGAGCAGACCTGACATTTTGATTTTTCTTTCTTCTTTTGTTTATTAGAAAAAGCACAGCCCAGGATTACTAACAACCCCACATGTCTTACACCAAGACCGCAGAAGAATATTCCCAAGCATGGGTCTAAATGGGAACAGCTGTCCCTGGCAGTGCCTGGGGCATGGCATGCTGGCACTGGTTCTTCTGAACCAGGCTTCCCCGGGCTGTCTAACTACATGGCAGCTAATTGAAAGGTTAGATAAACTTGGCACCCCAGCCCTACTGTTGGTGGTAACAGGGTTGGCTTTTGGAAACCCAATAGTTCCCAGCATCTCTGGAATCAACCTCTCCTCTCCAACTTCAGCTGGCACTGTGACTCAAAGAATCATAGATTAGGGTTGGAAGAGACTGAAGGAGGTCATCTAGTCCAACCCCTGCTCAAAGCAGGACCAACCCCAACTCAACCTGGGTCACTGAACTCTAGGGGGGGGAGGGAAGGGGGAGGAGGAGAGGAGCATCCATGTCCTGGGAAAGGGTATATTTGGGTAATGTGGCTTTCAAAAGCTGGCAGGAAGGAGGTCAGGTCAGCCAATGGGAGCTGACTCTGATGACATAATGCCTCCCACTGGTGGCAAATGTTTGATAGTGTGACGTCACAGTGAGTGCAACATCAGCACAGTTATCGTTGCGCTGCACTCAACAGCCACTCAGAGCTCTGCAATTGTAGCAGGGCTACAAGCATAGGCCCCTGTGGTTGAGCCAAATGATTCGTGTCTAGGGTCTATGACACAATTCAGTGGTCCTTACCTAGGCCAGGTGAGGAAGGGGGACCCCTTTCTGCTTTAAGCAAAGGAGGGGGAGTTGCCATCTCCAGCCTCCTTACTCCAGCCCAGTAGAGGACACACTACTGCTCCTCCTCCACCCCACTGACACAGTTACCACTAGGGAGCCAGCGTTAGCCACAGTGAGTAGTGTTAGGGAGAGAGGCCCAGACCCTCTAAGGTGTTTAGGCTCGTAACTCCCATTGTGGATCTGGGCCACAGACCAGTGCAGTCCCAGCCAGTGGAGGACTCAGACAGAATCTACTGGGATTTATGAACCTCTGACCAGGGGAATTACGGGAAATCTCACAAGAAAGTTTGATGGTGATATCACCACCCCCAATTTCCAGATCTGGGCAGCTCCCAATCCAAACTGACCCAACCCCCCCTCCTGAGACGCTGGGGTTGACACAGGCCACTCCAGCCCCATGCACGCTGCTCAGGCAGCGGAGAAAAGCACTCACCATCACCAAGAAATAAGACGATGTTCTTGGCCACATTGGTGTTGAGCTGCTGCAGCTTCAGGGCAATTTTCAGTGTCTGCTGAGCCTGATTCCTCCAGTACTGTGGATTCTTCTCCTTCTCTGAAAACAGAGCCACAGCAGGGTAAGAGCACAGCGGCCAGAGAGAAGAGTCAGGTCTACATTGCAGAGTTCGGTCAACTCAAACATCGCTCCAGGTGTGAAAAATCCACCCCTCAGAGCGACGGAGCCGACCTAACTCCCAGTGTACATGGCTTGACAGAAGGCTTCCATTGGAGAGGTGCACTAACTACAGCAACAGGAGAGTCCCTCTGCCCAAGAGGAGCCAGAGGGCGGACAGCCTGGCTGGGATTATAGAGGGGGACTACATGGGCGGTAGCCCTGAGCCATGACACTCAGAACCTCTGGGATGATAAAAAAAATAATAATAATAATCAGATCCTCGTGTGCCCCGAATTATGGGCACTTTTGAAAGCTTGATCTAAGTAATTTGCCCCATGGTGACACAGCAAATCAGGCAGAGCCAGAAACAAACAAACAAAAAAAAAACAAAAAACCACCAATTACTCACCTCTCATAACTATTATTCTTCAAGATGTGTTGCTCACGTCCATTCCAATTAGGTGTGTGAGGGTGCTGCGTGCACAGTCGTTGGAAAGTTTTTCCCTTAGCAGCACTCCTCGGGTCGGCTGTGGAGCCCCACGGAGTGGTGTCTTCATGGCGCTCAAATATGACCCTGCGCTTCCTCAGTTCCTTCTTGCCCGCTACTCCAACAGAGGGGAAGGTGGACGGGTTTGGAATGGATATGAGCAATGCATCTCGAAGAAGTTATGAAAGTAACCATTTTTTCTTCGAGTGATTGCTCACATCGATTCCAATTAGGTGACTCCCAAGCCTTACCCAGGCGGTGGAGTTGGAGTTAATGAAACGCTGATTGCAGCACCACTCTACCGAAAGCTGCGTTGTCCCTGGCATGCCGGACAACGGCGTAGTGAGAGATGAAGGTATGTACCGAGGACCAAGTTGCTGCCCTGCAGATTTCTTGGATTGGGACCTGGGCCAGGAATGCCGCTGACAAGGCCTGGGCCCTAGTGGAGTGTGCCGGGAGAGCTAGGGTCAGCACTTTGGCCAGTTCACAATACATGCGGATATAAGACACAATCAAGGAGGATATTCTTTGAGATGAGACCAGGCGGCCTTCAATCCGGTCCACCACCGCTACGAATAGGTGGGTCGATTTTTTGAACGGCTTAGTGCGCTCGATGTGGAAAGCTAGTGCTTGCCGAACATCGAGGAGTGTAGCTACTACTCTCGGGTACTGGCATGAGGCTTAGGGTAAAGGACAGGCAGGAAAATGTCCTGGCTGCTGTGGAAATGCGACACCACCTTGGGGAGAAAGGCCAGGTGCAGCCTGAGTTGCATCTTATCCTTGTGGAAAACTGTGTGCGGTGGTTCCAAGGTGAGGGCCTTTAGCTCAGACACCCTTCTCACAGACATGATGACCAGGAAAGCTGTCTTCCAAGACAGATACAGGAGGGAGCAAGTCGCCAATGGTTCTAATGTCCCCCCACCCCATGAGCCATGAAAGGACCAGGTTAAGGTCCCACGCGGGGACAGGCTACCAGATCTGAGGATATAGGCGGTGCAAACCTTTGAGGAAGCAGCAACCAACCATAGGGTTGGCGAAGACCAAGCAATCAGACACACCCAGGTGGAAGGCCGAGATAGCAGCGAAGTGTACTGTTATGGAGGGCGCCGCCATGCCTTGCTTTTTCAGATGCAGGAGGTACTGCCTAGGAGGACCTCCCTTACTTGTTCCGATCACAGAAGTTCCATGGGGTTCAGTCATGAAGCTTCTAAGCTGTGAGGGGGAGGGACCTTAGGTCAGGATGACAGAGGCGACCGTGGTCCTGAGTAAGTAAGTCGGGGAGGAGAGGCAACGCGACACGTTCACTGACAGCTCCAGTAGCTGTTGAGGCCACGCTGGAGCTATCAAAATTACCTTTGCCCCCTCCATGCGGGCTTTGAGCAGAACCTTGTGCACAAGAGGGAACGGGGAAAGGCATAGAGCAGGCGACCTCTCCAGGGTAGCAGGAATGCATCCGTGAGGGAGCCTGGGCTGCGACCCTGGAAGGAGCAGAACATTGGGCACTTCCTGTTGTGGCGGGTGGCCAACAGGTCGACCTGGAGAAACCCCCACCTTTGGAAAATGAGGTGTATGACATCCGGCCGGATGGACCACTCGTAAGTGTGCAAGGACTTGCTGAAGTGGTCTGCCAGTTGTCTGAACTCCGGGTAGAAAGGATGCTTCCAGGTGAATGGAGTGAGCTATGCAGAACTCCCACAGCCGAAGGGTCTCTTGGCACAGTGTGGATGAATGGGCTCTCCCTTGCTTGTGGATGTAAAACACAGGGGTGGTAGTGTCCATTAGAACTGCTACGCACTGCCCTTGTAGTCTGGCCTGGAAGGCCTGGGAAGCAAGGAGCACCGCCCTCAGCTCCCTGACATTGATATGGAGGGAGAGCTCATCCTGTGACCACAGGCCCTGTGTCTGGAGGTCCCCCAGATCCGCACCCCATCCCATAGCTGACGCGTCTGTAACCAGGGATAAGGAAGATTGAGGGTTGCGTAAGGGGACTCCTCTGCACACCGCTTGGGGGGGGGTCAAGCCACCAGCGAAGTGACGTGAAGACCTGCCCTGGCACTGTGACCACTGAATTCAAGCTGTTGCACCCCGGGCGGTAGGCCATGGTGAGCCACGTCTACAACGGTCTGAGCCGGAGCCTGGCATGCTGGGTCACGTAAGTGCAAGCAGGCGTGTGGCTAAGGAGACTCAGGCACCCCCTTGCTGTTGAGGTTGGGAATTGATGGAGGCTTTGAATGAGGTCGGTGATGGCGTGGAATCAGGACTCCGGTAGAAGGGCCTGTACCTGGACCGAGCCCAACACTGTCCCAGTGAATTCTATTCTCTGAGTTGGTTCCAGGGATGACTTTCCCAGGTTGAGGAGGAGACCAGCTGCTCGAACATGCACCTGACCAAGCGGATTTGGGACTGCACCTGTACTCTGGTGCAGCCCCTGAACAGCCAGTCGTCGAGGTGGGGTATACCTACACCTGCTGTCGATGGAGGAAAGCAGCCATGACCGACATGCACTTGGTGAACACTCAGGGGAGCTGTTGAGAGGCCGAATGGAAGGACCGCGAATCGATAATGTTCATGGTTGATCACAAAGCGTAGGAAATGCCAGTGTGTGGGACAAATCACTATATGGAAGTACGCATCCTTCATGTCGAGGGCGACATACCAGTCTCCCGGATCTAGGGAGGGGATAATGGTGCCTAGGGAGACCATGTGGAACTTCAACTTCACCATGAATTTGTTGAGCCCATGCAAGTCTAGGATGGGTCTGAGACACCCCCCTTGGCCTTGGGGATTAGGAAGTTGTGACATTCTATACCTTGGGGGAGCATGCTGTAACCCCCATATTCCTCATTTTCATATAATCGTGATCTTGCATATAAAGCATGCCTTGTAAGGTATCAGGGTAAAGGTTATGATCTGCTGAAAGTCATTTCTCTATCCATATATGTATATCATTAATGCATATGAAGTTATGAGAATTGTGGTGTATGGTTGTCACTAAAACATGCTGTAAGTTGGGGGAAATCAGTCAAATATTAGCTCCCCAGAGGCAACAGCAAGGAAAGTAACCAACACCGGGGCGGGGTATGAACCAACCTATCAACAACCATTGTCCAGCAAGGGAGCTACAATGCACTGACTCACCTGCATGAGGCCCCACCAGGGAAATTGCTCAACCTTGCTGGGAGAGACTCAGCAATACCCCACAGACATGCCTGGACTTGTGTTCTACAAGCACATGGACTGAGGGTATAAAACAGGCAGAGTGGACACATACTGGGCCCTTCTCCTGCCCCCACCTATGCTGCAAGCAACCAAGACACTGAGAAGAAGACAAGACTCCAACACAGGAGATTGGCCCAGATTTAAAGGACAAACCTGTATATTAAGGACTGCAATATCCAGTGGGGTGAGAAAAACTGTTTAAACTAGTTGCTGCCCAGTCTAATAGGGTTGAGAATTTAGACTGCATCCTTATATTTTCTTTTCTTTTGGTAACCACTCTGACCTGTTATGCTTTAACTTATAATCACTTAAAATCTATCTTTATAGTTAATAAATCTGTTTAGTCTACCTGAAGCAGGGCATTTGGTTTGAAGTGTATCAGAGACTCCCCTGGGGATAACAAGCCTGGTACATATCAATTTCTTTGTTAAACTGATGAACTTATATAAGCTTGCAGTGTCCAGCAGGTATAACTGGACACTGCAAGACGGAGGTTCCTAGGGTTGTGTCTGGGACTGGAGCTATTGGCTAGTGTCATTCGGCTGCAAGTAGCGAGGAGCAGCTTACATGCCAGAGGCTGTGTGTGAACAGCCCAGGAGTGGGAGTTCTCATAGCAGAGCAGGGCAAGGCTGGCTCCCAGAGTCAAGGAGTGAAGTGGCCTAGCAGCTCACCGGTCCGGATAACACCAGAGGGGAACGTCACAGGAGTAGAATCCCTTGCCCCATAGCTCCTGAGGAACCTCCTCCACTGCTCCCATGGCGAGGAGTGCCTGCACCTCCTGGATAAGGAGTTGCTCGTGAGATGGGTCCCTGAAGAGGGATGGGAGGGAGGGTAAGAGCAGAACTGGAGAGAATATCCCGATTCCACTGTGTGGAGGACCCAGCAGTCTAAGGTTATTTGGGACCAGGCATGGTAGAAGTGGGATAAACGATTCAAAAAGTGCGGTGAAGGATCTGGGGATGAGTCTGATGCACCATCCTCGGGCGTCCCTTCAAAAGGCCTGCTTGGAACCCGACAATGGTTTAGTCGGGCCCTGGCCTTGTCCGGAAGGCTTTCTGCCATTCCTGCCCCTCCGTCTGTAAAAGTCCTGCCACGGCCGAGGAGGGTAGGAGTGCTGCTGGGGCTTGAAATGTTTGCGTTGGGTTGCCAGGGTGTGCATAGTCACCCTTGAGTCCTTTAGGCTATGCAGCCGAGAGTCAGTCTACTCCGCGAACAGGCCCGCCCCATCAAAAGG